CAAAATGACGTTTACCCCTGTTTCGGAGCAGTCACATCAAATACTAATAGAATTAAAGCAAAATTTAGTTTCACAGTTTTAATCAAACTTTTGAAAGATGAGACATGAACTATAGTAGAGAATTCAATTAATAAGACTGAAACTTAAAACTGATATTATAATATTTAACCACCTAAAGAGAATTCAACCAATGTTATATTGTTTAGTGTCCAACTTCCGCTAAACACTATATGGAAGTTTTTGTGACTTACCAGAGATCCAGGAGAATGAAGTCTACAATTTCATAAGGTCCAAGGAAGTCATTTCCTGGAAGATTAAAGTCTATGAACAAGTCTCTGATCCGAAGAACCTCACTTTTATTGAAAACATGAGAGTTGTTACTATCAACATATATAGGAAAAATCTTCAAGTTCATTCCCAATCGAGGACCTTCTTCCCATTCAAATTTGTCGATATAGAGTTGGTTAATATTTATTTTAATAAATTTCACTTTCAAATTCACTTCTGCTTTCTGAACTGCATATCCATAAAATTAGAATATATTGCCAGTGTATGTTTAGGGATTGGAAAAATTTACACTATTTATGTTCCTTCTTCTTGTAAAACAAAATTCAGATTCAAACAGCAGAATGACAGAAAGCAATTAGTACATAAACAAGTGATATGGAATGATATGGAAGAAGTCGCCAGAACACATAAACACAAATACACAATTAAATAAGCCATAATCAAAGCATTGAAACTTGAACCGCATGGCAATACACCTTAATGATTAAACATCGTATGTATTGAAATAATGAACAAGCACCACCCAATGAACCATAATTATAACGAAACACATGCTGAAAGTAGAGTACCTGTTGCTTGATAGTAGCCTCAACAACTTCAAGTTCGTCGGGGTTAGGGTTCTAGTACGAAGTTTCGTGGGTTTTGGTTGGAACTGAGGTCGCCAGGGTTAGGTTCAAGCTCACAGAGGCTTAGGGTTTCAGGTCGCTTCGATTCAAGGTCGTCGAGGTTTGGGGTTAGGGTTGGGGTTCGATGTCGCTGTTGGGTTTCAGGTTGTCATGTTGGATTACTGAAGGCCGGAGGATTGGGGATGGAGAGACGAAGGCGACTAGTGGAGCGCGGGATGAAATGGGGCAGATTAGTGGAACAAGATGAAATTGGGGCAAATCAATGGAGCGCGAGATGAAATTAGGGCAAATCAGTGGAGCGGGATGAAATTGGGGCAGATCAGTGGAGCGGGATGAAATTGGGGCAGATCAGTGGAGCCCGGGATGAAATTAGGGCAAATAAGTGGAGCGGGATAAAATTGGGGATGAAATTGGGGCATATAAGTGGAGCGGGATGAAATTGGGGCAAATTAGTGGAGTGCAAAATGAAAATTTGTTAGGGTATGTTACAGTGAGTGAAATAATTAAATAATTAAATTAATTAAAAAAAATTAAATTAAATAAAAGAGTGACTGAAATAGTAACTGATTTTTTGTAACCGAAAATTCAGTTACTATTTCAGTTACTAAACTAAAAAATAATAATTTGGTTACTGATTCAGTTATTGATAGTAACTAAATTTTTCAGTCACTGATTTCGGTTACTATTTGACATTTTTCTAGTAGTGGAATTTCAATTGCATTCTGGCACATCGTTCCTTTCTTCACAATCCTTCCATGGAAATTGGCAGAAAACTTTTGGCCGGTCCTTTAAAGAAAGAAGAACGTATGTTACTACATCTTCTTGTCTGGATTCTATGTCCTCGAGCCACCAACCATGCACAATGTTCTTCTGCTGACCTTCGCATCATCCATGCTATCATGAACAATGAGCCAATTGATTGACCCAACCTTGTCACTTTGACAATGCTCAAAGCGAAGCGACATCCCACCTTCAAGATTCCTTACGCTCTTCTTATCTCCAGGATTCTTGAATACAAAGGTGTAAATGTTGAAGGGGAACAACGAGCTAGGACATTAAATTCTAACAGAATGCTTACTCAGCTACAAATGGTGAATGTAAATAGAGTTTACGTTCATAAAGATGATGCTCCTCACATGGCTGATGTTGCTCAAGATTCTGATGATTAGGACATGCCTACTGCTAATGTTCCTGCTGCTACAACGTCTTTTGCTGTTCACTCTACATCTCGTCCTCCCATTGAAGACATGTTGTTCGATATGAATAAGAGAATGCAAGAATTCTTTTCTATATCTCAAGAACGACATCAAGAAATTATAAGACGAAATTTGGACGTGGACGAACGTGTATGTAATCTAGAAGATAGATTTGATGCACAATTCAACAGTGATGAAAGTGATGAGTTTTAATTATTTTATCTTGTTTGTACTATATTGAATTATTGAATAAAATTCTATGTTTGCATTAATTGAGGGGGAGCTTTTATTTCTTTTGATAATAATCAAACTAGGGGGAGAAATTATTTAAAGCCTAATATGTTTAATAATTTTAATGCTGCCCGGTATGTTTAATAATTTTGTTAGTTGTGACAATAAAAATAAGTTATTACAAAGGGCTTTAAAACAAATTTGGATCATCATAAAAAAGGGGGAGATTGTTAAACATACAAGGATATGAAGCTTGAAGATTTTGATGATGATTCAAGAACAAAGGACTTAAAAACTTGAAGACTTATAATCATTCGTATTTACTTGTATTAACTCTGTTTTATCTTTTTGAGTCTGTAAAATTAAAGTCCAAGATAGCCAACACATAGTCCATCATCTGAAAGTTCATTTTTATCAAAATCACTCTGTGATAATCGATTATCACTTAGGATAATCAATTATCCTGCATTGAAACATGTTTTGTGAAAACCTTGCTGGAATAATCGATTATCTGGGTTGATAATCGATTATCCCAACTGAAATAATCGATTATCAAGCCAGATAATCGATTATCTTGGTCCTGTTTTACTCCTCTGCGAAATGGCTATGTAATAATCGATTATCTACGTCTGTTATGAGTTTTGAATTTCAAATTTGGACCAATTTATGAAAACTCTTTTTCCAATACTTCAAGTTTTGAAAATCATTATTTCCCAGACCCTATTCTCTCTAGTTAAGGTTCTCTAAGGCTCTCTGCAAAACAATATTTTTTCATACAAAAGTTAAGAGTTGTGGTTGCTAGAGAACTTTCTATAGGGAAGAAAAAGGGGCTTTTGAAAACCTAGTGTGGGCTAGAAGCGATAAGAATCACTGAGTGGGTTTCTTGGTGGACTGTGTGCTATGCCGTCTCTAGGAAAAGTTGTTGTTCATCCTTTGTGGATTCAAAGGATGTGTTTATCTCTTGTCTGACTCAAGAGAGGTGTTTTCTAATATTTATCTTTTTCAATTTGTAATATGTTGTAAACTGTGATTATAGTGACAACGTTAATCCTCTTTTAGAGTGATTAATAACTGGACATAAGGTCTTTTGATCCGAACCAGTATAAAACACTTGTGTAAAATCTTTTTATCCTTTATCTCTTTACTTTACAAACATTTTAATCGGTGAAATTTGGGGAAAATTCTCAAAACCCTAATTGTTTATAAGAAACCAATTCACCCCCCTCTTGATTTTTTTCTCTAAACCAATTTTAATTAAGTAATATTCCCAACATTCCTCCTTACTTTAATATCTATTTATTTGAATTTGATTCTTTTTTCTTTTATTTTGCTTATAATTTTTCCTCTTTTTTGTTTGTACTTCTTGTCATCTTCTTTCTTGTATGAGATCACATCTTCATTGGTGCGTATTGTATCGGATAAAAGGCTACGAATAGGCCTCCTCTTCACTTGGGCGAAAGATAAGGCTAGAGGAGAGCGTTGGAAAGAGAGGACTTTCCTAACAAGCCTTAAGCTTGAATGAGACACCAAGCATCTATCTTTTTTTTTTTCACAAAAACTCAATTGATTGCTCGTGACGGGATGGAGAAAGATGGGGGTAGGGACTCTTGGGCAAAAAAAGAATCCTTAATAAATATAATATAGATAAATTGTATGTTAGGGCTAACCTACCCGAAAGCAAAGGAAGGATAGGGTAAAAGGTTATTCCAATCTTTCGGATTAAAAAAACCTAACCAACGATTTATATTATGGCAAGGCACTTCTTACTGGGCGTCTCTCCGCAAAGACACTTCTTTCTGTATGAGTTACTGATCTACTAACAATGTAATGAGAGTGGAGGGCAATGGAATGGAATGGAATAGAAAGAATTTTCTCCCTATGAGCACTATTGTTCTTTCCCACCCTTTAAATCTATATCTTTATAGTAAGCTTGATTGGTCGAATGACCAGGAGGGGCTTGCTAAAAAAAAGCCATTCACCGCGTTCGTTTCAGTACTTACCATAAGATATGGCCTTCCTTTTAACATTCGTAAGAAGGGGAGTTTCCTTATACTTACTGAATTTCATAAAGAAAGAAAGATAGGGTAGACAAAAAAAACACCAATAAGTCAGGCTCGTGGCACACTAACTATATTCCAACTTCTCTGCATCAATGCACTCACTACCTTCTAGCCAACCAAGTCAAGAAGTCTTTTCAAGAAGAAAGTCACACCACTAATAGATAGGCAGAAGAAGAGATTCTCAGCTACTTACTCTAATAAAACTAATAGCCGTACCACAGAAAGAAGAGATCGAGATCTTAGTCGAATCTAATTGGCCTCTCGTTGTCCTAGGGGAAATATATCAATTCCTACTACGTTCCAAAAACGTCTTCCTCTTTGGTTATCCTAATAATATCTAGGAATCTAGTCCCGCCCCAGGGGTATCTAGTCAGTCATATTCCCGCATGCCATATTCTCCCTACAGTAACAACGTTGGTATTGCCATAGATGATGGTATGAATAGGTGTTGCGCATTAAGGCCTCTACATCGCCTTATCCCTTTTTGAGTAATACAGCTAGTACCAAACCTTAGGTTGTTTGTACTAATCCTTACTCAGTTAAATAAGGGGGAACCCACCCTGTAACTAAAACTAAATTAAAAAAAAAGTTCAAGGATTTCAAGGAGCCCGAAGGGCGACTTCGTTTGGCAATATCAGGAATACTTCGCTTCTTTGACCCGAAACGGTCGAGCAACCGCTACCTCTGAACGGCTGCTGCCTACACCATATCCCCTTTTACCAAGGAAGTGGGTATCAGACCTCCTGTAGTTCTAGGCCCCTTTTATTGATTTATTTATTGATTTTGTTCGACTAGTTCCTTTCAGTGCTGAGTTCCTTACAGCCCCTGACTGTACTGAAGTAGCTTATTCACTCCAGCACAGAAGTAGTCTAGTGAGGAATCCAATCCCCTAAAGAGAAATAAGAAAGAATGGAATTGATTCGTTACTTTTTGTTTTGGGGTCCCCTTTATGTATGTTATGGAAGACAGGAGCAGAAGTCGACCTTTCCCCCACTTCGTGAAGGAAGTGGTCTTGGGCCCGGAGTTGAAGCTGGGGGGAATTCATAACCCCTTCAAGGGTTGTCGCCGCCGTCCGTTCTGACGTCCCGGGGACGTCTCGAACGTTAATGCGAGCGGTCGCGAAAAGATGGTTGAGACTCGCGTTTTTTGTTAAAATTGTGTTCATTGCTTACGAGGTGCTCAACACTGAACTATCCTCTAATAGAAGCAAGGTTTTCGAAAAGGGGTTCTTTTGGAGTCGCCACCAATGTTTTGACCAGAAACATTGGAAAAGGAAAAAAGGCGTTGATTTTATTAAAAACCAACTTGGCCATTATAACCAGAGTTGGGTAAGGGAGTTAGTTACGTGTGGGGAAGGTGTTAGCACCCCACAACGCCCCTTTTGGGTTCCCTATGACGGATTTATTCATTAAGTGAAGATTATGAGAAATTATGCATTTACCCTTATTTTATTCGTACAGTTATTTAGATATGATTATCTACATGATGTATCTACATTGCATACAGAAAACAATAAATAAAGCAGTAAAGAAGAAGAGAATTGAGAAAAACCACCGTAGCAAGCTTTGTATTATGATTCTTGTACAAAGAGGACGCGTTTCGGCAGTCCTTCGCTCTACAATTGTTCTCTCCTCTCGATTACGAGACTCGACTCGACTAAATTTTCTAGAAGAATTGAATGCCTGGAATACAAATTCCTTAAGCGATTGTTACCTAAAAAAGGCAATCGGAAAGATCATTCGAGAGAGGGAGAGAAGAAGACAAGTCTCCGAGTTGTCTCGGTGTGTGGAATGAGACAAATGAGGCTCCTATTTATAGCATTTTTCGCCCTGGAAGTTTGGGACGGCCGTCCGGGTTGGGACGGCCGTCCCAAACGTGTTTTCTGCGTTGTGCCAATCTGGGACGGCCGGTCCGGGTTGGGACGGCCGTCCCAAGCGCAGTTTTCTTCACGTTGGGACCCCTGGGGTTTGGGACGGCCGTCCACATTCGGGACGCGCGTCCCAACGCATTGCGTTGGGACGGCGTCCCAACCCTGGATGGTGGTCTCGACCCGTTTTGTCCAGCCTTTGTATTTTGGGACCCCGGGAAGCTTTCCTTGCCGTTTTCGGACGTGGATTGATGCCGATATATGTCTGTTGAAGCTTTATCTTTATGAAGGAAGTCTTCTTGGCCTTCACTAAAATGTTGGGCGAGCTTTATCTACGTATAGGAAGTCTCTTTTGCGTTTATCGTGCATACGAGCGAACTCCATGTTGTTGCAGGAGGTTTCCTCGGTTTTGCTGGGGAAGCCGGATGAACTCCATCTTCGGGTGAAGTTCCTCTAGCTTTTATTTTGAGAGGCCGGGCAAAATTAGGGGTCTACAGCTGCCCCCCCTTCACCTGCCTAACTAATTTGTTGGTGTTAGTATGCCGACAAAATTAGTTGGTAGGGAAGGAGTTAACCCTTTGCTCGGCTATCCTTCGGATGCTCGCTCCTTGCTGATCCTCCGGATGATAAATATTTTGATAGGTACTAACCCCTATCCGGTTTGAGCCTTCTTTTGTAAAGCTCTTGGTGAGTACTTACCCTCACCCGGTATAAGTCCGTATTTTGTCTGGACTCTTGTGGGTACCTACCCCCACTAGGTATAAACCTTGTTTTTCAAGGCTTTGATGAGCACTTACCCTCACCTGGTATGAGTTCGCATTTTGCAGAACTCTTGTGGGTACTTACTTCCGAGGTGTTCAACACCGGACTATCCTCTAATAGAAGCAAGTCTTTGCACCCGTTTTTAGTAATGCTTCAGGTGAGTATTTTTTACTCCACCTAATGCATTCTGCTAAGTTTTGATGAGTACCTACCCTCATCCGGTATAAACCTTATTTTATAAGGCTTTGGTGGGTTTATTCTTCCACCTGGTACGAATCTGCATCTTGACAGATTCTAGTTTTTACACCCCCACTGGGTGCGAACCTATATCTTGGTAAGGCTCTAGTGGTTTTTACACCTCACTCGGGTGCGAACCTATATCTTGGTATGGTTCTAGTGGAATTTTTTCACCCCCACCGGATGTGAACCTCGAATCTTGCTAAGGTTCTAGTGTATTTTTTCACCCCACCGGGTGTGAACCTATATCTTGGTATGGTTCTAGTGGAAATTTTTCACCCCACCGGATGTGAACCTCGAATCTTGCTAAGGTTCTAGTGTATTTTTTCACCCCACTGGGTGTGAACCTATATCTTGGTATGGTTCTAGTGGAATTTTTTCACCCCACTGGATGTGAACCTGAATCTTGCTAAGGTTCTAGTGTATTTTTTCACCCCACCGGGTGTGAACCTATATCTTGGTATGGTTCTAGTGGAATTTTTTCACCCCCACCGGATGTGAACCTGATTCTTGCTAAGGTTCTAGTGTATTTTTTCACCCCACCGGGTGTGAACCTGAATCTTGCTAAGGTTCTAGTGTATTTTTTCACCCCACCGGGTGTGAACCTGAATCTTGCTAAGGTTCTAGTGTATTTTTTCACCCCACCGGGTGTGAACCTGGATCTTGCTAAGGTTCTATTGTCGGCGGCTTACTGTTTTTTATCATGCGCCTCTGGGGAGTAATTGATTTTGACTTTTTTTTGTTTAGTCATCCGGCTTCTGCCGGGGATTCTTTGTTGGTTGCCTCTTGTTTAGGCAGGAATCCTCTGGTAATTGTGAATTCTCTTATTGATTCTGCCTCTTGATTAGGCGAAGATCCACTTGGGGATTTTGTTGTGCCTCTTGATTAGGCGAAGATCCACTTGGGGATTTTGTTGTGCCTCTTGATTAGGCGGGAATCCACTGGGGATTCTGTTGATTTTTGATTGTGCCTCTTGATTAGGCGGGTGCTTCAATAGTGGTGAAGACTTATGTTTTGGATTGCCTCTTGTATAGGTTGATTTCCGTTTCTTGGGGATATTGGCTTTACGCTTGCCTATTGGAAGTGAAGACTTTGCTTTTCACTCGGGAATATTTGTATTTGGGAATTTATATGCGATTCCCCGAGGTTATAAACTTGTAGTTTTGCCTTTATTTGGTAGGCTCGCTGGGGATTTTCTTGTTTGATGATCCATTGGGGAATATTTTTGAATTGCCCCCTAGGGAGAAATGGAGTTTTGACTCCTTATTGGCTGCTGTTGGTTGAGCTGGCTTTTGCCCAAAACTCTTATTTTGATGGGGAAATGGTTTCTACCCTTTTCTCGCAATTCTTCTTTTAGCGATTTTAGTTTTTTGCGTATGTGCTCTTTTTATGCACATTGGCTCCTTTCTTTTTTGAATGAAGAGATATATTTTTGTGATCCCTGGGGAATTTTCCTTCACTTCTTGGGGATCCAACTTTGATGATGGGGTCTGAGCTCCTGAATTTTTTGAGAAGCTTCTTTATTGAGTGAAGATATTTTCTTCTTTTCCTTTTTGTGGATTCACCGAGGAGTCTGTCAGCTTCCTGGGGATCCAAATTTGATGATGGAGTCCTGACTCCTAGCTTTGTGAAGCTCTTATTTGAGCTGGCAGATGGGAATTTTCTTGTTTTTCTCTTTTTGTAGACTGTGCTTTACTTGGAGATTTTTTTATTTGGCCTTTTTTCGTTGTGGCCTCTATTTGGGGAATGAAAGTTTTTCTTTCTTTTCCTTTGGTTGCCCCCTAATGATGTGGAGGATTTGATTCCGTATTTTCTTTGATGGACTCTTATGCAGTCCTTATTCTCCTTATTCTCCTTATTCTGCTTTGGGGAAGTGACGGAGACTCTTGCATGCGTGTGCTTGATGACTCATGTGGCGATGAAGCTGAGTCGTGTGGTAATCTTTGTTTTGCCTTTGGAGTAGGCAAGGATCCTCTTGGGGATGGTCAAGCCTTTCCATTGGCTTTTCTATTTTTGATGGTGTCCTTCTTTCTTGGATGGAAGGATGCTGATTGCAGCTTTGAATGACTATGTTTGATGACTCATGTGGTGGTGTTGAGTCAGGGAGTATTTTTCTGTTTTGTTTTGCCTTTGGAGTAGGCAAGGATCCGCTTGGGGATGATCGAGCCTTTCCATCGGCCTTTTTTGATGTACCCTCTTTCTATTGGGGTTTGAGGAGAATGGTTGGAGCTATGGTTTTCTTAAAACTCTTTATTCTGCTAAAATGATTTTGATTTCACTTGTTGCGATTTTGATTTTTATTTAGAGGCTGGATTCTGGCGCCTCCTGTTTTCAATCACAAGTATGGAGACTATCCTCCTTATATGCATATTTATTATTCTTGTTTGAAGAAAATTATTTTTCTTGATTTTGGCAAAGTCGTATTATGCAACTACTTTGTGTGTGAATGTCCTAAATGCAATCTATTTGTTTTTTCATTTTTGATACATTTAGAAAGTAACTGGCTTTCTCCCGTTGGCTTCTCATGAATACGCCGATGGGCTCCTCTTTTTATGACCTTAATGATGGGCTCATCTTTTACTCATTTTTTGGTTTTGGCCCTATCTTTTGCCTAGACCGCCCTTTACGGGTTTTCGATCTAGCGGGCTGCCTTAATTTTTGCCTAGAATATCTTAGGGGGCTTTTGCCTTATCTTTTGCCTAGACCGTTCTTTTTGAGATTTCCGATCTAGCAGGCTACCCTGGTTTTTACCTAAGAATATACTAGCAGGCCTTTATTATTATTATTATTTTTGTTATGCTTCCCTTTTTTAGATGCATGTTTGATCTTTGATTAAAAGTCTTTGCGCATATTTATGATTTATCAATAAAGAGGCATTTCCATAATATTTGGTCAAGAGAAAGGAAATAAAAGGGAATTTTATTGATAAATGAGCAAAAGTTTATTTCTTTTACAGAAGGATTACAAAAAGGTATTTAGAAGAATGGGTAGTCAGGGTTGGCTATACTGTATAGGCTTAAACAGTCATGTCCATGATATCTGCCCCCTGGTTCTCCTAATTGTTTCAGTTGAGATGCCTGAGCTCAGAGTGAAGACCATGCAGACTGCTTGCTTCTGGAAGAATGTTACTTTAGCCGCCTTTTCGGTTTTCGGCTAAAGTAACCATTGCTCTTAGTTTC